CTTCTGTTTGTCTTGCGCGAGGTCAAAAAATCTTCCGGATGAGCGATTTTATTTTGTATACTCGCATAGCGCTACTTCAATGTCCTGATAATTGGATTCTACTTGTCCAAACCTCTAAAGCATTTCAGTGCAGAATACATCGTGTTTTACAGATGCATGTACCCGATGAATGTTACGAAATAAGGTATGCTTGCGTGATTTCATAGAAGTATTTTTCTTATAACTACCTGAAATGTAAACAAACATTCAGCAAGGTTAAGCGGACATCACCAAACTCTCTAATTCGTTTGATATTTCTCTACAAAACTTTGCAGCATGCATGAAGTGAGCTCAATTATTCAATATTTGAATTTTTCTAGATCGAAATGAGAATAAGCGATATTGCAACGTTTATTTACTAATTATGGCTGACTGAATTATCTTGGACCGTACTTTGACAGAATTGACACGGAGACGTGAGGCGTATCAAAAAATCTATTCGAAATTTTCTCTCATCACTGATATGAAACATCTGAGCAACGAAGAATTACGTGAAAAATCCATCATATTGAGCCAATACTACACCCAAGATCTTGAGGAAAATTTGGGAAATGAAATGGTCTTTTTCAAGGCATACTGCACCGAAAAGAAGATTTTAAATTATTCTCCTCTGGAACTGTTGAAAATGCTGAGACAGGATAATCTGCAGATCTCTTACCCTAATGTTGAAATTGCGTTGCGGATGTTTGTTTCAATTCCTATTTCCAATTGTAGCGCAGAAAGATCGTTTTCTGTTTTAAAACGCGTGAAAAACTATCTCAGATCTTCATTGAGCGAAAACAAACTGAATGCTCTTGCGTTGCTGACTATAGAGTCAGATTTGTTTCTATCTATCGATTGTGAAGATATTATCCGCGAATTCGCAGCTGAAAAATCAAGACGTAAAGAACTGTGAAAAAGAAGTGTTTGAAGTGTTTGTTGAATACCTTATCCATGCTGATGTCGAATTTGTTAATTCCGTTATGTATTTCATTATTAACGAACTATATTGTAATAAAGCACTGACAATAACAATCATATTTGATATATATATATATTTTTTTTTTCGTGAAAAAAGGGCGGCAAGTTATGAATTGCCTAGGGGCGGCAAATATTTAAATCCGCCACTGTCCCTGCATACTTCCTAAAAGGTGTTTCCTATTTACATTTACGCGAATGTACTCAAATATATGTATATACTACTTAGCATTACAATTTAGATTCAATAAGCATTCTAATACTACGTTTATACGCACAGAATAATCGACTTAATTGAAAGCGCATTGACACCGTACACATTTCGCTCTAGTGTCTATACTTACGGCTTTATATCGGCATCAAAGTAACCGTCTTCAAAAGCAAACAAATTGAGCAGTTTTCATTTGACATTTTATAAGTTAACATAATGGGAAGTGATAAAAATCTAGTTTTGTTCGGCATTATAAAATCGTGGCAAAGAAAAAGAACGATTATTATTAATCAGCTTTTAAATACTGATGCGATTATTTGGTATTTGAGCGGAACAGCTGATCTCCAATTCGCTTTGAGTGAGAGCGGTGTTTATACACTCTTTCTAACTGTCTGGAGAATTAAACTACCGATTTGAAATGGAGTGTGAGCCAAAACACTTCGCTCTTTCAAAGCGAATTGAAATTCAGTTTATACATACGTTTTGAATCGCGGCGAAATGAATTAAAGCGACTTATGCATGCGTATAAACGTGGTATAAGTCTAAATAAAACTATTTGATATAAATAAATTCCTTTAGGAAGTATGATTTTTACGAATTAGGAAAAACTTTCAAAGAACATTTTCAACAGGCGTCCCACAAAAGCCCTTCTGTAAGCTCTTTTCTCAGTAGCGAAAGCAGAAGCCCTTCAACTTGTGCCGCTCCATACAAAAAATTGTGGAGAAAGGAATAAATTTCAGAAAGGCCTTTTGGATGAGATTGCAGCTCCTGAAATTAGATACTGGGTAGTACTTATGTATAACCCCTCGGCCGTCAGGAACTTGCACTTTTGGCATTCGGCTGAAAAATTAAGATTTTAACCAAATAAACTAAACAGAAAGAACGTAAACTCGCTAGGTATTGTTCAACATTTTAGAAAAAACGTTTCTTTATCAATTTTCGACAATGACGGAAAACTGAACCTCTTTTTCATAGCAAAAACCTGCTAAAAACTAGAGTGGCTGCATTGACCTTCGTAAAAAA